ACCTGTCCCCGCTGCAAACCTGTGCTCCTTCCCGGATCCGTGCTCTTGGGCAAGCCTGTCAACACCCCGCTGAACTTCCGTTTCCCCAGCGTGGCTCCCGCCCTGAGAAGCCGCCTCCGAGCCTCCCGCCGCCCCTCCCGCCGTGGAGCCACGGCCCTGGGACGAGTCCCCCGTCCTGGCACCCCCTCACACCCACCCCGGACCCGGCACCTGGCAGGCGCCACGCAGACACTGGCCCCTGGGGGAAAGGTGAGAGCTGAGTCTTGCTAGTCCTTGGCAAGGCGCTTTGTGGAGCCTCACTTTTGCCATCTGCAAAATGGAATAGCAGGGCACTTCGGGCGCTAACGTTTGAGGAGGTGCCCCGGCGCTCAGCATGGGGGTGCCTGGGCCACCCAGCTGGGGGAGACAGGACACAGAACACTTCCCACCTGTTTCCCAACAGCTCCTGAAGTCTCTCCTCGCAACGGGAGGCCCGAGGCTGGGTAACTGGGGCTTTCTCAAGGCCAGGATTTGGGGAAGGCAGGAGTGAGAACTCTCCCTCCAGGGGGGCTGTGGGCCACCTGTGTAAGGCAAGGGCGGGGGGGCCCCCCCGGCTACACCTTGGCTGCAGAAATGGCGGTGTAGGCATGCACCTGAAAAGCCCATCACCGCCTCTGAAACTTAGAGCCGAGCCCGACCTCCAACCCAGGTGTGGGGGCCTGCACACCTCACAATAAAGACCACCTTAGCCAGCTATGCCTCCCAGCACAGGTGGCCTACTGCCACTCAAGTCTTGGGGGCCCTTGGACCAGGAGGCCTCCAGGGGGCCTTGGAGGGACCCCTCATCTGCCTGCACCAACCAGCATTCACCAGTTCCCTCTGGCTGGGTGGGGGAACACCAGGGAGGGAGAGTCAGGGCGCGGGGGCTAGGCCTCCCCCCCATCAGGTGGGTAAGGCCACGCAGCCCTTCCCAGCAGGGCAGAGCTGCAGAGAGGAATCCCCTCATCGTGGCATTCCCGCCTCTGGGGGGGAGGGCGCTACCCTCCGCTGCCCGCAGGTTATTTAGGTACCCACCCTGCTGCAACCAGACACCCTCCCTTTCCAGCGCCTTCTCCTCCATCCCACCCCCCACCACAGATTCCCGAAAATGGGGAGGCAAGGGCGCGGTGGCCCGAGGAGACCAGGTGAGGGTCAGAACGTGTGGGCGCCCACCACGCCCCAGGAGCTGAGCGTCCAGTCCAACAAGAGGGGGACGGTGCCCATGTCACCGGGTCCCACCATCCCTTCCCACCTCCTGAAGCCGGGAGGGGCCCCTGCCAGAGCTGGGTCCTCCGGGAGCTCCTCTGTCCCAGGAGGTTCAGCCCAAAAGAGGGCCCGCGGGTATCTTCCCCCCACTCAGATGGGCACGCGGTGGTCCTGCCCACCACTCCCAGCACCCCTAGGGCGCTCCAGCCCCTCTCCTGTCCTCTGGTCCACCCTGGCTGCCCACCCAGAGCTGAGCTGGGGGCGCCCAGGGGAGAGGCTGATCAGGCGCCAGCTTCCCAGCTCCACCTCCAAGGGGAGGGGTCTATTCCCAGCCAAAGGATAGGACTTTCAGGGCCAGGGCTTTGACTGTGGGAGGGACAAAGGGGCTGGAAGGGGCATTCCTGCAGATAGGCCCCGGGGGAGCGGGGGGGATACCAATTCCCTGTTAAGAGAGAGGTGAAGAAGGGGCTCGCTCCTGAGGGCGGCCTTCTGGGACAGCTCACCCCAGAGCCTAACCCCGATCCTGGAGTCCCCGATCCTGGCGTCCCCTTAATGTGGAGTACTCCCACCTCCAAGTGCTCAGCCTTCAGAATGGGGTAGGGACTCAGCTCCCAGTCTGTTACCCGCCCCCCACCCCTTGGGAGGCTGAGGCCACAGGGCAGGGAGGGGCAGGGGGAACACCCCAGGCGGGGCTCGTCATGTCCACCCCCAGCGGGAACCACCACCCGGCCCGCACTGCCCACAAGTGCTGCTCGCGGACGTCGGGGCCGCACGGAGGGGGCAGCGAGCACCCACAGGGGAGGGCTGTGTCTATGCCAGGCTCAGGGCTCCCTCCTCTGGGCATCCCCCGGGGGTAGTGGCAGGGCCCTGGTCCCTGTACCTCGAATGGCAAACTGGCCTGCGGTGGGAGCTGGTCCACACCCCCGTCTACACCCCCAGGCCTCTGTTCCACACCCCTGGTCACCTCGGCAGCTAAGCCAACTTCGGGCTTGGTTCCTTGTTCCAGCGGGGCCCCAGGCCTGTCAGTGAGCTGTCCCCGTGTGGGTGCAGTTCCTGCCTTCAGCGACTTTTATTTGAGGGAGGTGACCTGGGCCAGGCACAGGACGGGGTGTGCCCATCGCAGGCCAGGGTGTGGTTTCTGAGGCTGGCTCAGCACTAGGGGACAGCTGCTCAACCCTCCCGTCCTCTGGGCATCCCTGACAGGACCTGCCCTTGTTCCTCAGTCCACTAGCCCAGCCGGGGGCCCAGCACCGGCCCTGATTCTTCTGGTTGTTCCTGATTGACAGCTGCAGGTTCCAGGACTGACGCCTCCCCCGCGGCCCAGCTGAAGCCCCCTGGGGGCTGTTGCTACACCGTTTCCAGGAGCGTTCTGTGTCTGTCAGACCTCCTATCTCCGAAAAGGATCTTGGCGACAGGAGCCAGTTTCCCAAGGTCCCTGCAGCGGCTGCCCAAGGAGGCAGAGGGGGCAAGCCCCCCACACCTCCTGGGGCCAGATCTCACATACCCTCGGGCCCTGGGGACCCCTGCTGGACTCAGGCCCTAGGGACCCCCGCTGCACTCAGGTCTGGACAGCCCCTTCTCACCCCACCCCGGCCTGTGCCACCCAGTGCGCTGCCCCGTGGAGGGGATTGGGCAGGTTAGGCCAAGAAAGTCACAGGATGTCTTCCGGAGGAGCACAGCCCTGCCCTGGAGCCCCCACTTGCCTGCTTCTGACCCTGCCCTCATGGGTCCTGTCCAGCTGAGGCCGAGCCCTGGACATCACACCATCTCTGGTAGCACAACTGTCACGGCATGTCACTCCACACCTGCTGGCCACCCCTCGCTGCCCAGACTCCAGATCCCTCGGGATCCTTGCCCAAGCAGCTGGGGGGTGGGGGGCGGAAGCAGCCTCCCCACGAAGGCCGGGAAGGAGGTGTAGGTGTGACTGAGGCCGTGGAGGCGGCGACTCCCCCACCCAGCCCACTGCTGAGCCTGCTCTCTGGAGCGGCAGGTGCAGCCGACTGTCCTTCCGTCGCTGTCCCACGTCTTCCGGTCCGAGGCTGCTTGAGCCCCCGGGAAAATAAACACGTAGCTGCAGGCTGGGCCTGCCCTCTACTGCGGGCAGTTTGTGGGGGTGAGGGTGGGGCGTGGTCTGTGCAGTTTGTGGGGGTGCTGGGAGTATGTTGGGCAAGGTTGGGGTGTGGGGTGTGTTTGGGGGTGGCACACCTAACAGCATGTGGGGTGAAGGTGTGCATGCAGGTAGGACGTGTGGGAGATGTGGGGGTTCCTACTTAGACCCCAGCTCAGTGACACCTCTGACTGCGGCTCCGAGGGCTACCCTCCCCCTGGGAGAGCTCAGACACATGCCTGCCGGTCCCCTCCACCCCCTGGGACCACTCACTGGGGACTCTAGGTGGGCAGAGGTGGGGCACAGGGAGGAGCCGGCCAGCCTGGCTGGGGGTGACTGCACAGTCGAGGGGTCAGGCAGAGACTGCGTGTCCAGCAGAGCAGCACACAGCCCCCACAGGCTCCGTGACTGTTGCTCCCTTCCATGGGCAACCCTAGGCACCCAGAGAGCAGACATAGCAGCCTCAGGGCCACAGGGGAGGCCGTGAGTCTGGCAGAGGCTGGGGTGGGGTGCTTGGTACTAAAGACACCACTGTCCCTTCTGCACGGATCCTCTCCTTTCCCCCTCCCCTACCAGCCACCCCGTCTTCGGAGGTGAAGCCTCAGCTGGAGGGAGGGTAGGAAGTGTGTTAGGTATCTGTTGCTCTATAAGAAATCACCCTCAAAGCTTGGCAGCTTAAAACAAAACTCATTTATTTTCTTACACGATTTTGAAGGTCAGGGACCTGGAAGCAGCTTAGTTGGGGCTCCAGGGTCTCTCCCCAGGCTGCAGTCAGATGTCAGCTGGGCTGATGTCATCTAGAGCCTGGACTGGAGCTGGAGGATCCACTGCCAAGGTGGCTCCCTCATGGCGGCTGTTGGTAGGAGGCCTCAGCTCCTCTCCACGCGGACTTCTCCCTAAGGCTGCTTGAGTGTCGTTACAACATGGCGGCTGGCTCCCCCAGAGTGAGTGATCCAAGCAAGAGAGGGCAAGGAAGCCTTCTGCTGTTGTTCAGAATACACCCAGCACAACAGACACCAATTCAACAGTTTCTGCTTGTACAGTTCAGTGACGCTGGTTACACTTTTCGAGTTGTGCAACATTCTCACTCTTCTTTTCCAAATGGTTTCGCCCCCATTAACATCAACTCACTGCCCCTAAACTTCCTGTGCAGCCTTTCGAGTTGCTGTTGGCAGTTTGATCCCGTATAGATAGTTCTTTAAAGAGCACAATGCTCAAGGCAGACATTCTTTTCTAGTTAAGCTAAACTATTGCTTGGTTTAAAGAAGACTTCAGGGGATATTTTTGGTTTAAGGTTTAAAGATTATTTTAGGGTAAGAGTTACCAGGGTTTGTCTGGCCTCCATTACTCCAGGAAGTCTGGATGGCAGGGAAGCCTTTTATGATCTAGTCCTGGAAGTCCACCACCATCACTTCACCCAAACTCAAGAGTCAGGAATTAGGCCCCGTCTTTGAAAGGGAGGAGTATCAAAGGATTTGTGGACATATTTTAAAACCACCCAAGGAACCCAGGTGTCAGGGGGCCCCGGAGGAGCCCACACCCCACCCCTGGCCCTAGAAGGAAGGGGAGGGGATATGAGCTGATTGCAGTCAGGGCCACAATGACTGGGTGCCCCATGGGGGGCTGCCCTTCCCCCTCCCCCAGCGGAGGCCCCCAGAGGAGGTCTTTTCCAGGCAGATCTCAGCCATGGGGGATAACACCGGAGGTGGGCAAGCCACGTGGCCTCAGGGGAGGGGCTAGCTCCAAGGCCTGCCTGGCGGGGTGTGAGTGGACTTGATATCAGGACCTGGGGCTGTGCAGCCTCCCACAGCTGCTCAGCCCTGATGTTGGTCTGTCGGAAACAAGTCACAGGGCTCCCCTTCTTGATAGCTGCCTCTTGCCGCCCCTTCACCTCCTTCTGTCCCATCCCCCGCCCCCTGCCCCCTGGACGGGCCTCAGCCTCAGAGCCCAGAAGCAGCACATGAGGACTTGGGTTCATCACAGATGCACGCAGCGAACAGCCTGAAGGTGCAGGGTGCTGGGGCATCCCTGCTTGGCTGTGAAGGCTCACAGCAGGAACATTTCGCCAGGGGGAAGGCGGGACGCACAGTGGGTTTGTGTAGGCTCGCAGTTTCGTTTTTAGAAACATACGTGTGCGCAGGAAGAGATGAGAAGGACCCGCCCCCAGTGTTAACCCCTGGGAGTGGGGTTGGTTAGGGTTAGGTTAAATTCTCCCCCGTACACTTTTCTAGAATGTCCTGTTTTCCTGCAGAGGCATTTATTTTATAATTAGGAAAATAAATGTGCCCTAGAAATCCCATGAGCACAGAGCACTTTTAGGGCCGTGAAACTATTCTGCGTGATACTGTCACGATGGACACAGGGCATTAAACGTTTGTCAAAACCCATAGGATGGTACAACACAGAGTGGACCTCCTGTGAACTGCGGACTTTAGTTAGTCATGGTGTATCAGTATCAGTTCATCAGCTGTAACGAATGTGCCACATCTTAGGGGAAACTGAGGGGAGAAGGAGTCTATGGGGACTCTGTGCTATCTGCTCAATTTTCTGTAAACCTAAAACTGCTCTAAAAATAAAGTCTGTTCATTATAAAAAACAAAGGTGCGTGACCGGCCAGCCCCATCTCTAAGTTGGGTGCACGTCACCAGGGTCGCTGGGCAGGGGCCTCCCTGGGGCCAGAGGCTGCCCTGGGTCTCCCTATCCCACTCCTGGGGAGGGAAGCCCCTTGTCAGCCACTGCCATCACGCTGGCCTCAGCCATGGGGCACTGGCCTTGAGCTGGAGGCCTCAATCACGCCACCAGAGAGACCCTTCTCTGTGTCTGGGGTCGGCCAGGCAGGTGGCCTTTCTGCCTGGGGGCCAGACCAGGAGCGGCCCTGAGCGTTTAGGCTTCCCCACCCCACCTGCTGCCAGGGGGGCCCAGGCAGGCCTGGGGGTCTAGGCTGCCAGCCCTCAGCCTTGTTCCTCCCCTTGCTCCTCCTCCCTTCCCAGCCTGGGCCCTGGGACTTCCCTGCCCCTCCCCTCCAGCCTGTCCACACCCCACATTTCAGCCCCGCTGGGCCCTGGGCCCCCAGGGAGGGGGGACGAGTCAGGGTCGGAGCGGCCACTGGTGTGTCCCGCTTGCTGGGGCAGCGAGGGGGGCGTCTTGTCACCCACCGTGTCACCAGCACAGCCCCTGATGCCCAGGCTGGGCCCCCAGAGCCCCAGGCAGCCCTTTCCACCTCAGTCCCCTGGTCCTTGTCTCCTGCTGGAGTCCCCCCACCCTGCACCCCGTGCCCCTCCTGTCCGCCCGAAGGCCAGGTCTTCCTTGAGGAGCCGCAGGCTCAGGTGTTGGCGCTGAGCCCGGGGGTGGGAAGGGTGTCACCTGACCTTTCTGTACTCACGTCCTCCTCTGTAAAGTGGAGATGACATCGGGGTGCCTGCAGGTGGGCACAGGGTTAGTCTGGTTGAGCACGTTGGCTCTGGCTCTGAAAGCATCCACCCTAGCCACCGCTGTGAGCCCTGCCCTGGCTGAGTGGGCTCCGACCTGGCCGAGTGGGCCGCGCCCTGACTGAGGGGGCCGTTGCTGAGAGGAGGTGGGGGGTCCAGGTTGTGCTGATGCCACGGAGGGCTGGGTGGGGTGGGAGCTAAGGAGGCAGGGGGACCCAGGCCGAGTTTTTTGTCCCCTCTGGAGATCTGAGCCTGGCCCTCCACCACACCCACCACAGCCTCCCAGGGCTCCCAGGGCAGCCGAGTGTACCTGCTCTCCAGGTAGGTTGTGTCGCCCTGCAGAGTCTGGTGACGCTGCTGGGCCCAGTGCTGCACAGACCCTCCGTCCATCTTCTCTGGCCCATCCAGGCAGGCGAGAGCAAGTCAGTCGCTTCCCAGCCACATTCACCCCACAACACTGTCCCTGTCCCGCCTCCAGCCCCGTCTCTCAGCCACCCATGGAGGCCTCCCGCGCCTCCTGGGGTCTCCCGCTCTTTTGCAGCTCCTCGGGGCTCCCCCCTCCCGATCTCACATTTGGGGGGCCCAGTCCTCGTCCTATTGTCCATCCACACCTGCACTGTGACCCTGAAACCTCCCACGTAAATCCTCCTTGAGTCTCTGACTGGGGTCCCTCTTTCCCTCGTGCCCCACATCCAGGGTGCCCGCCAGCACACCCCACAGCTCCTGACACTCTGGCTGAAGGCAGAGGGGCCTGTCTGATGTCCTGCCCACCCATGCCTGGAAGGGTGCCCGGAACAGAGCAGGCGCTCGTGAGTGTGGATGAGCGAGTGAGGGGGCTGCCCCAGGGCTAGGCCTTTGTCCTCCTCTTCCTCCATCCAGACGTCCCCTCAGCTCCACATTCAGGCCTCACCTGCCCAGAGCCGTGGTCTCATAGCCCTGCCCCTTCCTTTGATCTGCTCCATCCCCTGGCCTCATCCCCTGCTCCAGTGTGACAACCATCCAGACTTGGTGCAGTGCTAAGGTGTGACCCCCGGGGTGAGATCCAGGAGGAGGGCACCTCGAGGCAGACGGCAGTCCCTCCTGCCCACCGCAGCCTCAGCCCAGCCGGCCCTCCCTGACCCAGGCAGGAGGATGGGAGGACAAAGCAGTCCTTGGCAGGGACCCAGCCCCACTGCAGCCCGGAGCCAGCCGCATTACAGGAGGCAAGGAAGTGCCCAACCTCCCTGCAAGGGGACTTCGAAGGAAGGCCCCTCCCCCACGGTGACTCAGCACCCAGGACTCCCAGAAACCCCCTGGGGAGGGTGGGGGTGGAAAGACTGGGGACAGGCTCCTCATGGGGACGCCGGCTGGGGGGCTGGCCTTTCCACATTGCTCTGGGTGTGCGGGGTGGGGATCCTGTCCCAGCTCTGCATGGGGTCATGATGAGCCCCTTAGCTTCCGGGACCTCAGTTTCCCCAGTTTTACTGAGAAGGACGGACCTCACGGTCTCTGGGGTTATCTGGTGACCGTGTGAAAGTGCCATGTGTTCCCAGGGTGCCCCAGGCCCCAGGGGGGTGAGGCCGGCTTGGGGGGCACATCCCAGGCCCTGGTCATCTGCCCCCAGGCACCATCCGCCCCCAGTCCCTGGTCAGTGCAGCGGACAGAAAGCAGTGGACGACAGCACCTCTGGGCCAAGACAGCCTGGGGGAGCAGTCTGCTGAAGGGACGCCCAGTACCTACTGTCGGCCAGGTGGGCTCAGCTTGGCCCCGCGGACAGTGTCCCTGGCAGCGCCTGCTCTCCCTCCAGGTGCTTCCACTGATGGCCTGAGATGGGTGGGTAGTTCCCGCTGACACTGCAGTCCAGCCCCCTCGGCCTGTCTGCTCGAGCCTGGTCCTGCAGGTCCTTTCCCAGAGACCTCCTCCTTCCTGGTGGAGGAGAGCTCCCCTGAGGTCCTCTCTTGCCCAGCATGAAGAAGCCCTCCCCCTGTTCACAGGGAGCTCCTCGCCCTTGGTGGGCAGAGACCACCTGGGCCCTGGTTAGTGCCTGGCACAGACTCGAGCATGGGCGGGGGGATGTCTCCCCACTGGACTATCCTCACCCACAGTCCCCCATCCTCTTTCCCTAGAAGCCTGCCAGGGAATTTGCCAGAATGCCCATGCCACTGGTTTTCTGGGAGCTTCCTCAGATGCTAAGCCCGGGAAGCAGGAGGCAGCCTGTCCTTGGGTGTGTTCTGAGCTCCCCTCCTGTGAGGGCTGGGCAGGTGGAGAAGGGCAGGGCAGGCCTAGGGCAGGGCGTGCTCCAAAGCAGGGGAAGTGACTTGCCCAGGCCAGGCCCCTGCCCATACCTCCTGCCCCTCATCCTGTGTTCTCTGGACTCTGGGCAGCCTGGAGGCAGAGGTTCCCACTGGGGGTGGCCACCAGTGCCACAAACCCAGCGGCCAGAAATCAGGACGAAAGGCCTGGTAGTCGTGGGAGTTAGGGCCGGGCCTCCCCATGCACTGTCCTGGGAGGGTCGTGCCGCTGCCAGGCCAGGCTGGGCACCCAGTGGTCAGTCAGTAGCATCCTGAGAACCGCAGCCCCAACCCCCCAGTGATGGCCTTTTGGCCTTCCTCTTTCCATGTTTGCGCCATGGATGACTGAGCCGGCCAACCTGTGTTGACATCGCGCTGTGCCAGACAGTGCAACCCTTCGGTTTCCTTGTCTGTAAAGAGGGGAAAGTTACAGAACTGTCTTAGTTAGCTAGAGCTGCTGTAACCCAAATATCACAAGTACAGAAATTTACTTTCTCACAATTCTGGAGCCTAAACGTCCAAACCAGAGATTGGGCCATGTCTATTCCTTCCTTGCTGGTACTTCTGGGTACTCCTGGGTTCCTTGGCTTGTGGATGATCCTCACCCAGCGTCTGTCTTCTCCCGTGTGTGTCTGTGTCTATTCTGCTCTTTTTATAAGACACCTTTCAGAAGGGATTAGGTTTAGGACTCACCCTACACTGGTATGTCTTCATTAAACATGACCAAAGAAAACGCCTCATTTCCAAATAGGGTCATGTTTACAGGTAGCAGTGTGGTGCGTGGGGTTGTCCTGGGTCGGGTTCCTCCTGTCTCAGTCATCTAGTGCTGCCATAACAGAAATACCACAAGCGGATGGCTTTAACAAAGAGAAATTTATTCTCTCACAGTCTAGGAGGCTAGAAGGCCAAATTCAGGGTGCCGGCTCTAGGGAAAGGGCTCTGGGGGAAGGTCCTTGTCATCAATCTTCCCCTGGGTCTAGGCGCTTCTCAGCGAAGGGACCCCGGGTCCAAAAGACGTGCTCCCCTCCTGGTTCTTCATTCTTGGTGGCATGAGGTCCTGTCTCTCTGCTGGCTTCTCTCTTTTATATCTCAAAAGAGATTGACTCAAGATACAACCTAATGTTGTAGATTGAGTCGTGCCTTATTAACGTAACTGTTTCTAATCCTGCCTCATTAACATCATCAAAAAAAAAAAAAAAAACATTGCTGTCAAGTCAATTCCGACTTGTAGCAACCCTATAGAACAGAGTAGAACTGCCCCATAGGGTTTCCAAGGAGCTGCTGGTGGGTTTAAACTGCTGACCTTTTGGTTGGCAGCCGAGCTCTTAACCACTGTGCTACCAGGGCCCCAAAACATCATACAGGTAGGATTTATAACGCATGCGAAGATCACATCAGATGACAAAATGGTGACAATCACACAATACTGGGAATCATGGCCTAGCCAAGGTGACACATTTTGGGGGGCCACAATTCAATCCATAACATCCCCCAACCAAGTCAGACTAGGATGAGAACTCAGGCATGGAGGTTCCAGAGCCTGAGTTCTTGGTCAGCCTGCTTGGAAGCTTGAGGGCCTGGCCTGGCACCTGCCCCCTGCAGCTCCACACATGGTCTCAGCTGCAGGAATGGTCACAGTCACCAAGAGGTCAGTGAAGGTGCAGAGCTCCAAGATGTGGGTTCTTGGAGACCCCACTTTGCAGGTGGGGACGCTTAGGCACACAGGACCAGGATGCAGACCCAGAACACAGACCCCGGCGGCAGGCTGGCTCCAGAGGCTGTGAGGGCCCCCTCCCCGCTGAAGGGGCGCTACCCCCTCTGCCGGGACCTAATTTCCAAGGAGAAGGCTCCCTCCACTCGGGGCTGCGTCCACTCGGTGAGACCTCCGCTGCCCCAGGACCAGTCTTGGTGCGGGACATGGACGTGGCCCCCCTACTGTGCTGTGGCCTTGGGAGCCGGTAGGGGAGGGGCTGGGGAA